GCTTCCCACAACTCGCACACGTCGGCTTAGCATTTCCATCCCGATCTGAGTTGCTGGAACTGCCCACATTCGCCTTCTTCTTGGCATTAAACGGCATCCGATGACCTTCATAGTTCTGTCTCTTCCTCTGACTCTCTCCTGAACTTTGATATCGGTTCAAGTTGGCTTCCGCCAAGATGGCCTTGTCTAACACCTCGGCGTAAGTTGGCATATTGAGTATGTTGACCCGATCCTGAATTGGTCCACGTAGTCCACTTTCAAACTTCCTGGCTTTCCTATATGAGGCGCGTATCTTGCCAATTCAGTGAAGGCACGGTCATACTCTGCCACTGTTCTGCTGCCTTGTGTCAGAGTTTGGAACTATGTGGTCTTGCGATCTCGAACGCTAAGCAGAAAATGCTTGTTGTAAAACAGTTCTAAAAATTTGGCCCAAGTTAAACCAGGATTAGCCTCTCGGATCATCATCCACCACCTTCGAGCGTTGTTGTCTAATGTGAATGCTGCTAATGTCACCTTCTGAGTGTCGGTGCTGGGAAAGATCTCGAACAGCTTTTCTATTTCCAAAACCCGCGCCTCGGCCTTCATCGGCTCTATGCCCCCTGCGAATCTTGGTGGGTTCATCTTCTTGAACTCTTTAATCAAAGTCATCGTCCCCTCTCCATACAAGGCTGGCTGTGGAGGCACTTGGGGCACTAGAAGAGGTGGAGCTGCAAGTCGGCCATCCGTCTGTCCAGCCGGGGTAGATGTAGCACTTGCATTCTGTTGCCTCATCTGCCTCAGCTCACGGGTTAAACCTTTAACTAGTCTTTCTAGTCTGTCCAATCTATCCTCTGATTGATCTCGGCCCACTGATGGTCTACCTCTCCTCATGATGCTATGAGTAGGCAAAATGCAACCTTAAAACAAACTGAACCAAGAATCATGTATGCAAATATCAAATGGCTATGTCAAGATGATGCACACCTTGTCAAGTAACAAGCAATATGATGCAATCCTAAGATCATTCTAAGGGACATCCTATGCTCTTTAGGAATCAAAGTGTGTGAATAACGTACTATAAGAAACTTGTGCTCTGATACCAATCTGTCACGACCCCAAACCGCCCCTAGTAGTTTGGTGCCGTGATGGCCAGTAATCCGAGATTACCGAAGGCCAACTTTCAAAAATTCACACACACCAGAGTATAATATATATATAGGGCTCACGAGTGCGGAAGCAATAATTTAAAAATACAAGTGGTCCATAAGAGCAGTGCGTAAGTTACATGGAATGGCACACAACTTTACATAATATTACAACTTGAATACAAATACAATAAAGTACAAAATACATTTTACATCTTGATCAAAAGGCTTCTCCAGCCGACATGTGTAAATTACAAGCATTATAAGCCGAGAAGCATGATTTTCAAGACTGCCGACGTGAATACAAGTTAGGCCGACATAACAAAAACCCAAAACAAGCTTGCGAGTAACACCTAGGCATCACCACCTTCCTGCTCATCACCTACATATATATAGAGAGAGTGAGCTTGGATACTCAGTGAATGGTATAAGAAATAAAGGGGTTTGCATGACTGGTATTCAAGATCGTTATCAAACAATACATAACATAATTAGTGCAAGTCAAGGGATGAACCCAGTCCATCTTCCAAATCTGTCAAGTTTCAAAGGATGCTTACTAACATCATTATAATACAAGTGATGACATCCCGACAAAGAAAACCCACGCGGTAAACCGTCAATGGCAAACAAGACAAGGCAAGGGAAGACAAGGGAGATATCTCAATTCAATGGTGCCGTTGCATTATAGTCCCCTGACACTAAGGACTTGTGCTACTAATGCTTAGAGTCCCCTAGCACGTACGAACTTCCAAACTTTGTGCTACAAATGCTTATAGTCCCTTAGCACGTACAGACTTCCTACAAATGCTTATAGTCCCTTAGCACATACGGACTTCCAAGAATGTCATCAAAACAAGATATATATATATATATATATTTCTAATTAGGAAAAACCATTCATGCTTACAAATACTTTTCAAAACAAAGCAAAACAAGACTTTTATCAAAGCATTATAACATAGCTTTATTAAAAATACCACTCACTTAGTTCTTCAAACGTAGGGGTCAAGGCAAGTCCAAATCCTACAAACACATGGCAAAGTCTGTTGAATGCGCTTTCAAACAAGTTTCATGTGCATGCAGATGATCTCGGGAAAACATGCTAGGCAACTACCAGGTCTAGGCCGAGGTTCCACATCCCCTGGCCGAGGTGTGGCCTCGATGGCCACATTCAAAGGAATGAAGTCGGGAAAATCTGGGTTTCCCTTTTCTGAAGAACACGATGGACATGAAGAACAAGAACACGAGAAGATGAATGCAAAGATCGTGATTTTCTATTACAAAATCTGAGATTTCATGCTATGAGTTCAAAAACATGGACCTGGGTACCCATATTCAAGGATCTTGTGAGAACAAACACAAAAACGTGAATTTTAATGTAAACTTTCAGATCAAACAAGACTTTTCCTTCAAAAGCACATGAACACTATTTTCTCTTTCTAAAACCAATTTTAAATCGATGCATGACATGCAAAACAGGGTCGATCGTGCAATGCAGCTAGATGATCAATAAGAATGTTAAGAGTAAATCAAGAATCTAACCTCAATACGTGAATCTAATGGTTTGATCTCTAGGAATCGAGCTCGAAGCCCACTCTCTCACTCTAAACTTCTTCTTTTTCTTCTAGAGCTTCTCTCTCCTCACAACAAAGACATATAGCAAAATGATACATTTCTAGGTCTGCTGGCTGACTTAACCCTCTACAGGGGCACGTGGCAGCGGCTGGTTGGTGCTGCCCAAAAAGGTGGCTGAGTGACAAGACAACTATGACAAAGTGTGTTCGACAAGTAAGACGGCATGGGCACTCTGGCGAGTAAGGATCTTGGCTAAGAACAAGACATCGGCAAGTAGGGAATAATGACCTCGGCTAGGAAGGACAACACTTGACTAAGCTGTGCCACACCTTGGCCTAGATATGCCACACCTCGGTCTAGGTCATACCTCTCCGGGACAAGATCACTTAGGTGCAAAAGTAACATCTCGGCCTAGATGATTCACACCTCGGCCTTGGTGATGGACACCTCGGCCTAGATAATGACATTTCGGCCAATATGTCAGGGCGAAGGTGGAGGTCAAACAAAGTGGTTCCAAGGTAATCCTAGATGGAAGACGACTTCGGCTAAACTCACACCAAGCAAGGTACAAAACATGCTGAAACACTTAAACGAACAAGGACAAGACTTGAAACGCAAGCTTACAAGACAGAATCACATAAATGCACATGAGTATGGTTAGTATAGCGTGAGGGTTATTACAGACCTATTAAATAATTTGTGACACGATGCTTAGGGTTGCACATCTCAAACTTAAATCATCTCAGAGTTTAATAACAATTGTCTAATTCCAATCTCCAGGTTATACAATTCCAGCAGGTTGGGCCATTATGATTATCACTTGTACTCTTTAACTAAATCCCAAAGTATTTAAGGATCCACGTGCATTCAATCCAAGACGGTGGAAGGTTAATTTTATCTTCTTTCTCTCTCTCTTAAAACAAAGAATTAATGATATAATACTGTTGGTCATAGATCCATTGTCCAAATATGCATTTTCATTCATTAGATCATGTGTTGAAATTTAGTGTCCCAAAATTCTCACATAATCTAATATTATTGATAGTGCATTGAGACATAAAAACATTATATATATGACCCAATCTTTGATTCATTGATGAAAATAGGACATTGATCCGCAAACCGCATCAAAGAATTTTATGCCTTTTGGTGGAGGGATAAGATAATGCATAGGTGCAGAGTTCTCCAAGGCATTTTTTGCCACCTTCCTACATGTTTTAGTCAGTCAATACAAGTATGTACTACTATTAATAATGTCCTTTTAAAATTTGTTTCACATTTCATGGTTGTTCATGTTGTTTCAATTATAGTGACAAATATGATCCAAAATGAAGAAAATGGAAAAAAATAATAAAATTCAATTCTTAGTATGCATTTAGTTAAGAGGATATATCTTCATGACGAATTTATACAACAAAATTGATTTTTTACGGCTTGCAATGCATGCCATAAAAACTCTTTCACAGCATGCACACAAATGCCGTTGTATGACATGCCATGGAAAGTTGAGCGTCATTTACGGCATGCAGGTAAAGTTATACAAAGTAATAAATTAAACATTAATGACATACTTTGAATGTTGTATATAATTTTTTACGACATTTTTATCATGCCATAAATCATCATACTTTCCATGACATAATTTTGCATGCCATAGAAGGTTATTTTTAATATATTTATGACATACCTTGTATGCCGTATATAATATTTTACGACATTTTCTTGCATGTCATAAATCATCACACTTTTCACAACATAATTTTATATGTCGTAAAAGGTCATTTTTAATATATTTATGACATACTTTGTATGTTGTATATAATCTTTTACGGTATTTTCTTGCATGTCATAAATCATTACACTTTTCATGACATAATTTTATATGCCGTAGAAAGTTATTTTTAATATATAATATATATATACAAGAATATAACCTTGCCCAATAGTATGTAGACAGTAGCTTATAAAATGCAACCTGTGAACAAACCAAGCAGAAGCAGCAACTATGAAGTAAGCAAAAAAATTTAGGGGAAATTACATATACACCCCTCCAGGTTTGGTTAAATTACAGATACCCCCCTGAGGTTTCGGAAATTACATCCCGCCCCCTGAGGTTTGTATTTTCATAACAATTTACCCCCTGAGGTTTATATTTCATAACAAATTACCCCCTAATTTCTTATGCAAATATAGCATTCAGGGGGGAATTCGTAATTTCTCAAACCTCAGGGGGGTATCTGTAATTTTGTCAAACCTGGAGGGGTGTATATGTAATTTGCCCAAAAATTATTTAATATCCATACACCAAACAACCTACATACTAACTTCCATTCTCAACTTCTATCATATCAAGTTGATAACAACTTCTTCTATAATATCAAGTAGATAACAACTTCAAACATACAAACGAAGAAAAGCATCCGAATCATAAGATTCACTAATCTCTAAAATACAACTTTAAACATCCAAAAAACATAACTACAAATCGTAAATCAATTAGTCAAATATTTGGAGTCTCCTGGAGGAGAATTCAAATTTTGCATGGTCGGGAAATTGAATTCCATATGTTTAATATGACCTGATTGTGTGCCTTGAAAACTTGACATGCGACGTACTTGCGATCAACTCCAAGGAGTTCATTTTCTCACTGCTAAAGATTAAAAAAAAAGTGATGTCAAGCATTAACAAGCAACCTGAATAACCCAATTTTTGTCAATTGTTGTGGGACTAAATTATACGGATAAAAGTTAATCTCAAAAAGAAAAACAAAAAAAAAATTACAAAAGATTGCTATCAATTCATCACATTATGCACTATAACTTCAAATTAAAAGGAGCAATGTTAAAGTATCTTAAAAATCCAGATTAAAATTACACGTATACAGTAAACCAAGCACTGAAGGAACACTTAATGCTTTGCACAAAAATGGAAACCTTCAATGAATATTATTGGGCAAAATGGCAGAATTTTTATACCAATTAGTTCCATGAATATTAGCAGTGTGTTTTACTCGTAGAATTGAGATGACAGTAAGTGATTTTTATGAGACAATATGTATCACCACTAGCATGTCAAAGTTAGAGATTGACCCAAATATTACTTTAAATGTGTCATGACACGACAATGGGGAGGAAATGTGCCCGAGACGAACTCCTACCATATATATTTAAGTCAAAATTGTCCAGGTGCATGGTAAATGCAAATAAAACATAGTTCAAAAGATTACTGACTGGACCTTAAGGATGTCATACAAACAATACCCAATGCTGAATGACAAAAACAAAAAATAAATTAGACAAACCTTCAATGAATATTGACCAGCTGGTGCAATGTAGGTTATCTTTCCCATAGAATTAGGAGGAAGTGCAACATGGTGCTGTACTAAACTATTCTCAAAGACAATATGCATAATGATTTAACCATGTCAACCTTAGATGAAGAACAACAAAATAAAAATGCCAGACGAATATGAAAGGACTTTAAACTTTTGTAAACTAAGTAAAGCATTGTTAAACTTACAGCATATAAGTCTTCCCCTGTTATAAGATCTCCCTCACATGCCACCAACAGATGACGTTAAACTATAAAGCATCAAGTCTTTCTAGCTCTCTAATGTGAACAAAATCCATAACAATTGTCTCTAAACGACTAAAGTAAAATGCTCTTTGATTACCTATTTTTTTAGACTAGAATTCCCAAAGGGTGTCCTAGTTAAGGGCCAGGACAGAGACACCACGAGGGATATACACATCACCAGATCGCTTTGCCATGGTCTTTAGAGACCTCTGAATTATTTTTAAACAATAAATGGATTGTCAGTGGGTAAATGTCCTCCTTAAGCTAGGCTAATAATAAAAGACCTAGTTGCAAAAAGTTTTTGTTCAGACAACATTCAAGTTAGGCAATATGAAGAAGCATATATTTCACAAGCTTGAATACCATCAAATATATTCCCCAAGATTCCAAGACCTAATTCCACGGACAGAGGCTGTAATGTCGATGGACAAGATAAATGTTAGTGCATTTAGAGTATGTTTGATTGACAGGATTAGAGCATGGGATTGAGATTATTGATCCAATGGATAATTAATCCAACAAATTTGTAGGAATATTAGTAATGGGGTAGGGGTGAGATTATATATCCTGAGTTGGTAAATAAAATAAAAAGACTCTTTTACCTTCATATGTTTTCTTATCCAATGCAAATCAGAAAATGGACAAAGGGATAATTTATCCTACTACTCCAATTGGATAGTAAAATACTACACTAATTTGATGGGATTATTAATACCTTCAATATTAGTCTTGTGAATCAAACATGGCCTTAATGTTTGATCTATAACAACTCAAAAATTCTAACAATAATATTGTAAAAAACATAACAAGATTACCTTGTGTGTTCGTAAAACAGGATCATCAACCGTCAACCCAGCTGTTTCTTCATACACTAAGATGATATATAGACAACAAATTATTGTCAATATTAAGGTGTTTTAGTTCCACCATGTACAAGATGATAACTATAGCTACCAGAAACGTGGTGCAAAGGGAAAGCAACAGTAAGGAAGGAGACATTAAATCAAGAAAGATGATGATGTGCATTAAAGACCTACAGGGCTCAATTAAGGCCTAGGTTAAAAAGCTCTTAACAATATTTGTAGAATTTATATACATATACATACGCTATCATTAATAAGCATCAAGGGGATGCAACTGGTACACATTCACAAGTAATATATATATATATATATATAAAGAGGGGTTGTAGAATGAATTACCACCCTACATTTTCTATAATCAATATTTTGAGGACATATCTAAAATGACTACCTTGGATTGTTGCAGAATCTCTTTCTAGATGAATAATTTCCCCAATAAGTTTGTCATGTCCGACACATACCAATTCATACATAGCAGCCCCTACCATTCCATCTGCAACAACTGGTCCTGATACCTGTTCATTGAGAAACTTAAATGTTAATATAGTGGGAGAAAACATAAAAATATTTAGAATCGGTTACATCAAATTGGCATATTTGAAATATAAAAAAATTAATTAAAAAAAATTATTAGCAGAAATAAGTTCATTGGAACAAAATCAAAAGAACAAGTTCATTAAAAAATTGAAAGGCCTGAGTATATTCAAAGCCATTTTTTGGTTTTATACTGTACTCAGAGGCTACTTGAATCATCTTGTCCTAGATGTATCATTACACATTTCTACTAACATATGCGTTCTTGCCTTGTAAAAAAATAAAATCATCAAGTCAATTTCAAGGTTTTAGAATCAATGAAAAAAAAGTAACTAGTGAAAATCTATGTAAGCACCTTAGAAACATGAACAAATATCTGGATTAAGTCCATAATATTATTTTTAATATCCTATACAAAAATGTCAAAATAAACTAGAAGGATTAGCTTCAATTCCCCATTCAGTCAACTGATAAGGAATATGCTAATTAGAAAACAGGGGAATTAACTATCACACTACACAACATCGTGCCTACAAGTTAAGTTGAATTGGAGACCCTAATCAGATCTTAAGAATACTACTGCAAATCATGAATCTTAACTAATATTTATACAGAGATAACTGACTAAATCAGTCAAAATTATCTAAATAAAATTAACCGTATATATGAAATTGATCAAAGTAAGCAAATAATAGATACAGAAAAATTCTAGTCATAGAAAAACTCGAAACTAGGGTTTCGATTTCCAAAATTTCAATCGATGAAGAAGAGAGAATAGATATAGAAATTACCTTGAGAATATGAAGGTCGAGACTTCGCAAATGTCTTCGATGGGGGAGAGGGATCGGGAAAGAGAGAGGGAGAGATAGAGAGAGAAATACGAACAGATATAGAGAGAGCAAGGATCGAAGAGAGAAAGAACGAACTTGAATCTAGAGCGAGAGAGACGTAATCGGCGACGAAGATAGAGACAGAGAAGGAGACGGAAACGGAGATGGAGCACTGTCTAAATAATTGACAGAGACAAAGATGGAGCATTATCTAAATACTAATTGATTTGTTTTGTTTGTTATGGGTAAGAGAGGAGGCCTAACTACCTCTCACTATGCCTAAATAGGGTGGGTACATCTCTCATTGCCTTGGTACTGGCTTAAATTACCTACTCAAACTTAACCCAATAATGTGATGATGATTAAGTGGGTATTTGGGATTGATTTTTGTAATATTTTTTTCGTTAATTTTATTTCATCTTTAGTGATTTTTTAATTTAAAAAAGTAAATAATGTTTGAATTGTTAAATCATATCCTGGAGAATATGAATTGAATTTTTAGGCATGTTAACTACTATTTTTGCCATAAAAAAAAATACACATTTTTTTTTTATTTTCTTCATTTTATTGTTTACAATTTTTTATTAATATTATTTTTTTTTGCCAAAAAAAAAACTTTTTATTTTTAGCAAGTTATTTTGAGCAAAATTTTTTCCTTTTTTTTTTTGGAAAATAGTAAATAGTAAATGAAAAGAATGCCAAAAACGTTGACTTTTAATATTTTGAGGATGCTCGTGTTCTACAAAAGTGGATTATTATATTTAGTGGGTTACTATTTGGTGATAAATGTTATTTGATTTGGTGTTAAATTTAATTTTTCTAGTTAAAGTTTTCATGACATGCAAATGTATGTCATATAAAATTATGATGTATTACGATGTGAAATGCATGTCATTTTAAGTATAACTATTGCACAGCGATTCTTGCAAGCCGTAAAAGTATACTTTTTCTACGGCATATTTTTGCATGTCGTAAATATATTAATCAACAACTTACATGGCATGTATACCGTTATTGATAAAATATTAATGGCTTGCAAAAAAAAAATGTCGTAGAATACACTAACTACGACAAGCATTTGATGTATGCCGTAAACATAAAGCTGTAAATAGTTAATTTTGATCTACTAGAAATTTATAAATATTTAAGAACATCTAGAATTTTTTTATTATTATTTATAATTAAAATATAATTTCTCTAGAGAATGAGAGGGTTTGGGACAAAAACAGGTATGGATCTAGAAGGAGAGAGAGAGTGTTGTCATGACCCGAACCCGCCCCTATGGGTTAAGGACATAATCGGCCAGTAATTGCGGGATTACCTACGGCCTCAAACCATTTCAGACTTAACTCATCAAAGTAAAGGGGCCAAACGGAAGCAAAATTTAAAACTTTGTCCATAAAGCTGTGCTTACACGGCACATCATAACAAACCATACATACACATATTGATAACTCATATCAGAAAGTACAGTAGCATAAGGTTCTGTACAGACAGGATTATTCAAGTCTAAGTCAGCCTACCAAAACTATATACGAACATAAACCAAAGTCCTCGCCAACAAGTCAAAATAAAATAAAATAGCAGAAGGGCGAAGACTGGTCGCGTGCGTGAGACGCAAGGGCTGACTCTTCAAAACCTTGGTTGTTCCACAGAGACTTCACTGAGGGTGGGTCTAGACCTCTCTTGGCTCACCTACAAACACATGAATGAGCGTGAGTGAAAGCCTAGTGAATAATGTCAATTAAAGAAGATGCATTGGAACAATATACATCGGATGGCCTTAGACCCAATTCATATTCTATCTAGTATATAAATAGATATGGATCAAGTAACTTCGGTTCCAAACACTTCGGACGGCCTCGGGTCCAATCCATTCATGTCAAACTGGCCTCTGGCCCATTTGTCTTTCATTCATGTCAGACTGGCCTCTGGCCCATTTGTCTTTCATTCATGTCAGACTAGCCTCTGGCCCATTCGTACTTTCATTCAGATCATACTGGCCTCTGGCCCATTCATTCTATCGTTCAAATCATACTGGCCTCTGGCCCATATATTCATTTATGTCAGACGCCTTCGGCCCATTCATTCATTCATTCATGTCAAACTGGCCTTTGGCCCATTCATTTGGCATAGCAAACATTGTTCGCCAATCAAATCAACAAACTTATAAACTTACATAGAAGTAAGCAATTGGACAACAACATATTTCAGATATCTTTGTCAAGATATTACTCACAGTGATCGATTGGTAGATTTGCCTTGGAGATCTCGCATAACACTTATGGGTCATAAACGGTTTAATCCGTTCCTTAATTCACATATTCCTCTTTAGGCTTCTTTTTTACTCTTTTAATTCATTCACAATGCTCAATGCATGCCTAAAAGTACTTAGAAGTGAAAGAGAACGGAAAACGAAATACAGAATATCATTACAAAATTTCAGAAATAGGGGTCCCCGCTCAAGCGTGGACTTCCCCGCTCGAGCGGACCCATGAGGTCTGCAAAAGTGCTGGTTACATCAAATTTATGCTCGAGCGTGCACTCGGACGCTCGAGCGCGAACTCGGTCTACATAGCTCGCCGCTCGAGCGTGAACTTCCCCGTTCAAGCAAACGTCATGATTGCAGAGAATACTGGGAGCTCGTATTTCCCGTTCGAGCGGCGGTTCCCCCGCTCGAGCAGACATCAAAATTTTTGGGTTTTCCAGCAATGTTCTTGAGCTCAAATTCAACCTTCAAATCAACACATCTTGCATTTTATGGCTCAATCTTCACATAAACATGTACTAACATGGTACAAACACCAAATTACAACATTATGAAGCTCAATTCCATGAATTACTTACATGCCTGACCCAAATTAGCCCAACTTGCTTTCATGATAACAATTCCATGTATTTCAAACTCATTTCCTCATAAATTGTACATGCATGTGGAATATAACTCCAATTTCAACTCAAATGGTGCAAATGGTGATCACAAGCATGAGTTCTAACCAAAATTCTACATGGATCATATTTTCCATACTCAACTATACAAATTCATGGCAATTATACACATGCATGCATTCCATGACTTCAAACCCAACAAAATCAACTCAATTCCATCACAATCAATTTAATTCATGTCCTTGAACATTAATCAAACTTGAATTCAAAAAATTGCAATTTAAAGTCCATGAATGCACTTACGTAGAGGCTTTAATCTTCCCAAATTATGGTCAAATCTAGAGTTGGCCTTCCAATCTTCACAACTTGAGCCAAACACCCAACTCTCCCTCTTCCTCTCTCTCTTTAGCCGACCCTCTCTCTTTTGCTTAGAGTTAAAAATCAGCCAAGTATGAAATAAGGAGAGAAGTTGAGTGCATAGTGCCCTCTCATGTAAGTCCCACTAATCAAAGTTATCAATATTAAATAGTTGGGCACTCAATCCATTAATTTAATCTAATTAATTTGATCCGAATCAATTTTCAATTAAATTTCATCGTAGGCTCAAAAAAAATTACGTTAATCACAATGGCGTAATCAATTTCGGGTTTGTGGCCGATAAGGCCTCTAATTTAAATTCCAAAGCAGATAATCAAATAGATATTCCTACGGTGAACAGATAGAAATTCAAAACCACATATTTTCACATAATGGCACACAAAATTATATCAAACACATAATCACCTTTATAATAAGGACCAATTAGCACAGTATGGAACAGGGTTATCACAAGTGTGGCGTAAGTTTTTAAATAAATTTTTTTTATTAAATTCAAATAATTTACACGTAGTTAGAAGGAAAATATTTTTTAATTTTCTAAAAAAAATCACTAAATTCAAAAAAAATATATAATTTAATCTTTTATGACATGAAATGTATGTTGTCTTAAGTGTAAATATTTTATAACATATTTTTGTATGCCGTGAAAAATACGTTTTTTACGACATACTTTTGCATGTCATAAAAAAAATCGGATTGAAATATTTTTTTTTTCTTTTGGTAGAAGTTTTCACGACATTCGTTAGCATGCTGTGTAAAGTTATAATATTTTACAACATGAAATATATGTCATCATAAGTGCAAATATTTTGCGATATATTTTTGTAAGTCGTAAAAACATACATTTTTTAGGGCATACTTTTGCATGCCATAAATATATGAATTAACGACTTACATGGTATGTATGCCGTTATTGACAAAATATTAACGGCTTGCAAAAAAAAAAATATGTCGTAGAATGTACTAATTACGACATGCATTTAATACTTCCCGTAAACATAATGCCGTAAATAGTTAGTTTTGTTGTAGTGTATTACTTTCACAAGGAAAAAAAAAAGGATGAATCTAAAAATTAAGATAACATGTTAATAAGATTTTTACAATTTTTTTATGTTTTCATTTAAAAAATGTCTTAATGTGTTTTTTCATTTCTGTTTTTGATTCTGATAGGTGGATGAAAATTAAGGGAGGAGATGTAGCCGAACACCTATGTTACAATTTCATGATGGCATGTATATCAAGGTCTCTAAGAAACATGCATGATTATGGAACACCACCGGTATTCAAATGTAGTATTTATTTTTCTTATTTGGTGTTTGTATTCGTGTTTGTGTTAAAGTTTATAAAAACTATGATGGCCATTACTGAACTGGAGAGAACTTATGCTTGTTTATGTATTATTTAAATAAGTTGATTAATGTCTTTGTCTTTTATCCTTTAAATGAAGAAAGAATATCTAGCTCTTCGTCCTTTGTATTAGATTTTAAATTATTTAATGAATTTCACATAGTTTATGATGAAAATCAGTAGACAGTGGATTCATAGGTGCAGCTGGATTCACAGTGGTGTTGGAGTGGTTGGGTGGGTCTCGGGTCTCGTCTTGTGGACCTTGTAGACACCTCATTTTTTATTAGCTTTAAGACTTGGGTGCTCTCTGAAAAACTTCAAAATAAAGATTGCACTATTTCAGCTCACGTATAAGCTTCAAATGAGAAAGGCCACTATTTTACTCTCCCGTTTTTAGCCAAAATAGTATTCTAAATTTTCAAAGTATTTTTCTAAAGGTTAGAGATATCGTCTCAAGCATTTTATCAGGGGCAAATTACATTAATGGTCCCTATAGTTTGGGACTTGTGTCACTTTGGTCTCTAATTTTTCAATTGTGACACATTTGACTCTAAATTTTGAATCATGTTCCGAATAAGGATAATTCAAGATACTATTGCCCAATTTTAAGGGCAAAATTGTCAATTTGACAAAATATAAACTAATTTGACAAAAATAAATGTTAAAA